AAGAACTAGAGGAAAGTTGTATGTTTCATCGGTGCTATACTGCACCCTGACTGGCTCAACTCTTCCTTGTGACTCTTCTGTAAGGGGGTGTCCAATTGTCCACAGATGGGTTTTGGGTCTCCACTCTGCACTCCCCCTCATTCACATTGATATTATTTTTTTTGTTCTGGGACTTTGATGCCTGATACCTGATCCCATCAACATCTCATGATCACACAGGCTTCTTCCCTGTGGACTTTGTTGCTTCTTAGCTAGATGGCTGCTTGTTTATCTTCAAGCCTTTAAGACCCCAGATGCTATATATTTTGATAGTCCGGCACCATCAGCTTTCTTCACCACATTTGCTTATGCACCCATTCTGTCTTCAGTGATCTTGTTGGGAAGGTGAGCATCACAGAATGCCAGGTTATTAGAACAAAGTGTTCCTCAGTTGAGGGAGTACTTGAGTAAAGGCCCAGTGTCTGTCTGTACCTTAATACTAACATATAGATATATGTACATAGATCTATTTCCCTATCATTATAAATATATTTACATATGTACATGCCTGTACTTAGACCTCTATAAATGCCCTTTCCCTCCTGGTTCTTTCCTCGATTTCCTTTCACTTTCCTCTTGTCCCACTATCATGTTTGGCCTTCATTCTGGTTTCAGTAATTCCTCTCTGCTACACTGCCCTTGATCAAGCCCCACCAAGCATCCTAGGCCCTCCTTGCCATCACTTGTTCCTTTGTCCCTGGGTTGGTTGATACCCAATTTCCTTTCCCCCCCACTTCCCTCTCCCCCATGTCCCTCCCACCTCCCATCCATTGGTCCTGTTGTCTTCTCCTCCAGATTGTTTATCCCACCTATCTTATCTAGACAGACATGCAGAGACAATAATAAGCACAAAAACAAGACAGAGCAAAACAAAACAATAACAACAAAATACCAATGACAAAAAAAGAAACCCCTATAAATAATTCTAGGTGTTTTTTGACCTTTAGGAGTGTTTTCCTGTGGGGTCTGATGGGGTGCCATGCCCTGGCCCCAAATCATATTTTTGGTATTCCCTGGGGACTTCATTGCTTTGCTCCCCTTGCTGCCCTGTTCACATGTCTGATTTTTAGGATGTCTGTCATATAGTTTTCCTTCTGCTGTTGTGTTTTTCATTTTGTTTGTTACTGTACTTACGCCATGTATTAGGGACCCGAAGTTTGTCCCTATGTTTTCATTGACAATCTTTACAGTTCTAAGTTTTACATTTAGAGTTTTTTTAAGTCCATCTAGGGCTCATTTTTTAATATGATGTGATATGTAGTTTGTTTCATTTTTCTGAAAATGAATATGAATGTTGTCAGCATCATTTCTTAAGACTATCTTTTCCGGAATTTAGCGTGTTTCAGCCCTGTGTCAAAGATCTTCTCCCCATAGGTGGATGGACTTACTCCTGGATTCTCTGTTCTGTGCTATTGGTCTGTCTGTCAATGTACCAATACTAAGCGGTTACATATATGAATTTCTTTATTGTGAATTAGGTGGGGGACCATGCCAAGATGTTTTCATTACCTTGACTATGCAGGCTTTGAGATCAGAAAGTGAGAGGCCTCTTGCTTTGTTTTTCTTTAGTAGTGCTTTATCTAGGGTCTCTTTCCTCTCTCTATGAAGTTGATTAGTTTGTTCATCTCTTTTAACAATGTTGGAATGTAAATGAGCATCTTGCCAGAACTCCTCCACTCTTCTCAATGCCTGACCTATGGATTTCAGGGATACAACACAGACTCTCTAGCTGGTACCTCACATACAGATCGTGGACTATGTGAGTCCTTATGATGTTTCTTTCTCTGGTTGTTTCTCTAGAGAACCATAAGACAATCCCTAGTCTTTCCAACTTTGTCTTCCTCCTCACTCCTTAGAGGTGAGGATGGTGAGACTTCATCTCACATACTTTGGACACGCTGTCAGGAGAGACCAGTACCTGGAGAAGGACATCATTCTTGGTAAAGAAGAGGAAGGTCCCCCGGGAGATGAACTGATACAGCGGCTGCAACCATGGGCTCAAACATAAGAACAATTGTGAGGATGGCACAGGACTGATTGGGAAGTGTTTCCTTCAGTTGTGCATACGGTCATTATGAGTCGGAAGCGATTCCATGCCACATAACAACACACTCCTCTACACACACCGAACTCACTGCCACGGAGTTGGTTCTGATTTACAGTGACCCTAGATAAGGTTTCTAAGGCTTTGTCAGTTTTTCCGGAAACAGGCTTGTCTTTCTCCTGCAGAGGCAATGGTGGGTTTTAACCATAGACCTAGGAGTGAACAGTCCAACAGTGCCAGCAGGACCCTTTCCTCAACACATACTTATTTAATTGTTGCCTAACTTAAATACATTCCACACGTTCTGCCCCGAGAACTTTATGCCCCTTTCTCCACTAGAGGCCCCTCTTTTCAAATCTGTTAAAATCTTACTAATTCTACAGGGGCCAACCCAAATGCCACCTCCATCAGAAGTCACTCTTCCTTTTCCCAATATATTTGCTCTCTTCACAACCCTAAGCTTTTGATTGTTACTGATCCATTACCTTGCATTGTAGTTGTGCAGTTACGTCAACCTTTCTACTTATCACTTCTTCTCACACATCTTAAATTAATTACACCATATTTGCAGGAAATACAAAGGCAGAGGTATATCTTCTTTGAAAAAGTGAAACACCTTCCAAAGTATGAGTAAAAAGGAGGAAGTCTTTTAAAAAGCTCTGATCAATTTCATTTACATTTCAAAGAAAAATATCCTTTGGAGAGTGTGATTATGAGATTGGCAAGTACAACTTGATGGTCCCTGTGAGCCCAAGGGAAAGGAACTGATTTCTCACTCCTGTTCAGTGCCGAGTACAGCGGGAGGGGTATGTTCTCTCATTTCTTCACACGCATCCTGTGAGACAGGCTGGGGTCATCCCCTTACGGATGAGAAAAAAAGACTCAACAGTGCGATTTCCCAAAAGGGTCAGAGCTTTCACTGCGGGCAAGTCTGGCATTTTGTACTCGCGTCAGTCAGTATTACTTTCTGAAAGAAGAGGAACCTGGTACTACTGAAAGACCCTTTTCCAGAATCAAAACAAAGTTCACAAATGCCTTTTCCAAAGTACATGCTCAACAAATGTAAGGTATTCATAATGGGGAAGATGCAATATAAATTAGAACAAGAGACCCTTCAGTTCCTACCATTCAATCGCGATGCCTTGACAAAATCATCCGCAGACTAGAGATCATCAACAGGCACTTTAATCTTAATGCTTTTTGTTGACATGACTTTAAAAAAATGTGCATTTAGCTATAGTATTGGAGGGGACTGTGTTGAATCCATCATTAAGTAGTCCGTTATAATTCAAAATTCATTTGGTACCAGGATGTGTTTTGCAAAGACAGACAAAAAATAAGACATGGTCCCTGCTCAGAAGGCTTACAATCTGAAGGTAGTAAGATACATGGGATGTAAATGTTTCAGAGAAAACTTTGTAGTTTAAAGTTTTTCTTTGCAAGAAAACTGTCGTGATAATTTATGAAATGTTTTAATGGAATAGGTTTTGGAATGGATATAAAGGGAATGTATTGTTTTGGATATTGGGAGAAAAGGCTAATTTAATTTCCAGGATATAATGAACAATGATTCTCAATTCATGGTTATCAGCATATGTGGATTTGGAGCAGTGGTTCTCAACCTTCCTAATACCGCGACCCTTTAATACAGTTCCTCATGTTGTGGTGACCCCCACCAAACATAAAATCCTTTTTATTGCTACTTCATAACTGTAATTTTGCTATTGTTATGAATTGGGAGACCCCTGTGAAAGGGCTGTTCGACCCCCAAAGGGCTTGTGACCCACAGGTTGAGAACCCCTGGGTTGGAGGAAAGGTCATGTAATGTTTCAAAACAAGATGGTACTTTCTGCTATTACTTTGACTTAGGAGAAATAATTAAAAGATGTCATCAACGCTCTTACTGAAACAGATGCTACATTTAAATAATTTTAATAAAAATGAAAATATAATGTAAACTATTTATTTAATAAAAATAATTTTTATAATCTATACAGAATTGAATAAAAAGTTACACAAATTCTTTCCACTTCTTTGCAAAACTGCATACAGTACAACTTGCAGCTTGGATACAGCATTCCACAAATATGGCCACACAGCCAGACGTGAGCTTATTCTTAATTTAAATAAGTAAAGGCTCAGGATGTGTGCCACACTTCAAATTAAATTACAGGGAAATATTGCTGTGGTAATGTGAACCATTTATTGTGCGACAGTCCATTTTATTAAAAAGAAAAAGGATCATGAGGTGTCGATGGGATTGAGTAACAGGCATCAGAAGACCCAAGACAAACAAATAAACAAAACCATATTGTTGAGAACAAGGGGGGGTTGGAGCAGAGTCCCAAAACCCATCTGTAGACAATGGGACACCCCCTCACAGAAGGGTCACAAGGGTCAACCAGGGCGCAATATAGCATCAATGAAACACAATATTTCTGTTTCCTTGAGACTTCCTCACCCCCTACTATCATGACCCCAGTCCTGCCTTTCACTGTGGGCTAGACCAGAGCATGTGCACAGGTACAGATAAGAGTTCACTACACATAGAATCCAGGAACAGGAATGGGAGTAGCGATACCAGGAGGGTAGGGGGAAGGAGGGGAAAGGTGGGGAGGAAGGGGGAGCCGATCTTAATGATCAGCACATCACCACCACCACCACAACCCCGCCCAGGGACGAACAACAGAAACCATTGGGGAAGGGAGACAGTGGTTGGTGTAAGATATGAAAATAATAATTTATAATTTATCAAGGGATCACGACGGTGGGAGGGGAAAAAAGAGCTGTTACCAAGGGCTCAAATAGAAAGTAAATATTTAGAAAATAATGACGGCAACATATGTACAAATATGCGTGATACAATTTATGTATGGATTGTTTTTTGTTTGTTTGTCTGTTTTTGATGTAAGGATTGTTATAAGAGCTGTAAGAGCCCCCCAATAAAAAAAATGACCTTTTAATAAAACAAAAAGGAAAAATGATTTTTAGAAACTCTCAAATACCATTTTTCCACTTGTTTCTCAGTAAATAATTTCCTACCTGGCCTCAAAAAAAGGGGGTACAAAACTAAACCAACACAGGTCAAGCTGGTGCTGCGCTGAAGACATCATGCCCTTCCTCCTTTCATCAACGCCCCTTTTCTTTCCTTTACTGAGAGAGAGTGGTGAACAGCAAGCTACCCATTCCGTCCTTCCATTTGTCTCTCGGATTCTGGCTTAAACCAAATGAATTATCAATTTCATAATCTTCAAATCGTTATTAACACTGTTTAGCTGTGTCATTCTGAAAAGTTAACTTTGTATTTAAAAGCACCTACATACAAACTTTTTCAAGAGAAAGTAAAAAAGTTGGCCTTTTCAAAAATGTAAAATAGTCTTCACACCTCACATAGACAGCAGCCACTATATCGAGATTCTAAAAGTAAATGCATACTCACTGGCGCTTCTTCAAGTAACCGGGGATTAGAATACTAGCAACTTTTATCTTTAGTAAATATCCAGGGCTATCCACCCTTAGAAACAAAGGCAGATTTTACAGGAATCGAGTCTATCCAAGGTTCTGTCCTATTGAAATAGTGGAAAAGAGGCTCATTTTATGGAAAGTCCTTGGGACAATCCAACTCCTAACAACATCCTTCTCTAGTGTTAGAAGGACAAAACCATGTAAAAGCTATAAATGGAGATGGAATTATTTAAAAAGTTTCCATTTTATTTTAGAAATAAAGGGAATGCAAATAACAATGGGTTCATTCATATCCCTATACTAAGTTTTCATCATGGAAATGGCAGTCTTCCATAATGAAGAATTAAAGACAAGCAGGAAACCCACTTTCCCTATTCTGATTCAGTCTCTTGCTTTAGGGTCGTTAGCAGGTTTCAAAGCTTGTCTTCTTTTGTAACTATGTGAGCTTCTCTAGGAAGCATATGAACAATGCAAACAATGTAATTCTAAGGAAAACCTACACACACATAATTGTCAAGACAACTATTGAGAAGAATATCCATACAATTAACTTTTTCTAATAACTTAAAATTAGAAATGACCCATACTCCTTAGAGAATACAATACCAGAGCAAATATTGCCAGTGAATAGGAATACATTTCATCTGTAGAAACACAAATGCACATGGGTAAACACAGAAACAAAAATTAGGTTGAACAGAGGCACGTACTGCTAAAACATTTCCATCGTGACCTGTGCTATCTGCGGCCCCTGTAAAGCACTGGTTCCAACAGGCCAAGCCTCTGGCCAAAAGGAGAGAGATGTACTTGACCTACAGAACATCAAACTCACTTGCTAATTAAGTATACAAGCCATGTGCAGCTTGATTGTTCTTGATTAATTAGTTTCAAAATCGAGCTCACTTGAATCAGGAAAAAGTCATCCATTGTTTAGCGCTCATAAATACCACATGAAATGAACTTCTGGCTCCTTTCAACAATCTGCTATTAGTCCCAGACACAAGTTATTAATAGTCAAGTGGTTGCTTTGAAGCCATGAAATGCACATTCATAAATATAGGTCTATGCCCTAAAAAAGTAAATGCATCCAGGCCCAGTTGCTGTGCAGAGTTCTTGCTGTAAGATGACTTTCAGCAGTGCATATTATGAAGTGGTTATTTGAGAACTTGATTCTGGATCTTCTCGTTTTCTGTATTTCTTCATAATACTGACTGCACCACTAACCAGGAAAACCACAGCAATGAGTGCAAAGTAACTGGCATAGATCAGGAACTAAAAGGAGGGAAATAAAGTTGTAGAATTAGCCATAAGAAGAGGAACTTTTTTCTTACATACATGTGAACATTTTCTTTATTCCTAGCTTTGGTACAGAGGCAGCACACCATCGGGGCACTCAAACCTGACTACTGAAGTGGGAACCCTGGCTTTATCAAGTTGCTTTATCTTCTCTGAGCCTTGACATCTTCATTTACAAAACAGAGTTCCTAATATGTGAAACCATCAAAAATATAGGATCACAGATTAGATACTTGTTAGCATAATGCTAACGTTAATTCTACTGCTACTATTTTTCCTGGTGTAAGTGCCCTGTTCTCTACCCACAGCTGATAAAAACAATGGGCTGTGTTCTGAAGATGTGGAATCTCTATTCTTTCCCCAGAAGGGGGCAGTAGAAGGCCAAACATAGTCCACTATGCAGCGGTTCTCAATCTGTGTGTCGCGACCCTGTGTGTGTGTGGAGGGGTGTCCAATAACCCTTTCATAGGGATCGCCCTATTCATAACAGTAGCAAAATGACAGTGATGAAGTAGCAACGAAAATAATTTTATGGTTGGGAGGGGGGGGTCATCACAACATGAGCTGTATTAAAGGGTCACGGCATTAGGAAGGTTGAGAACCATTGCATTATAGGATTTAAAATTTTTTTCCAGGATCTATCTTAAACGAGAGAAAGATGGGATTTTCTACTCCTGTAAAGAGTTACCAAAAAAGGAAAAAAAGAAAGAGTTACAGTCTCAGAAACTTACAAGGGCAATTCTAACTTGTCCTAGAAGGTTAGGAGTTGGTATGGACTCTATGACAGTGAGTTTGTTTTTTCCTGAGCCAGTATTTTAATGTTTACCAACATCTTCGACTTCTTCTTAAAGATAACTTACTAAATATGTTGGATCAAAGCTTATTAAAAAAGGGTGGCCCTACATTTTGGAGTCTTTCTATGGGGAAACAATCATGGTAGTTAGGGCACAAGCCCTACAATCTTATTACTCCACATGCTTAAAGCTACCATTTCTCCGAGAGCATTCAGACAAATATAGCTTCAAACAGCAGCGTGTGCTTCCCTCCACCAGACCCAGAGATTCTTCCCGATGAAACAGATGGTAGGTTAGGTGGTAGTTTCTCTACTGCTCAACATCCCCAAAGTACAGAAGCACCCAATTCTTGAGTCTCCTTGTTTTTGTTTACTTCTGGTGGTAAATGTGAATCACATAGAAAGCAGAAAGCTCCCATTTTTGCCCTGCCTCTGGAGGCAAGATAATGCAGACACAGGAGAATCATAGAGACATTACTTTCAGTCCTAACTCTGCCACAGCACGATGAACTCTGTAAACTAAAATTAATCACTTCAGTTCTCTGATTTTCTTGATCTCTAAACCTCACACAACCCTGCAAAATTCTACATAAAGTTTGTGGCACATAGAAAACATGTCATGCTCACAATATACATTAAATGTTATTTCTTTTTTAGATCTCTTCAATATAAACAAATTACTGCCAACAATGTTGAGTGAGGCAGTGTGGATGGAGAGAATAACGGGAAAGGAATCATTTGTGCGGTGGTGGGTGAGAGCAGAACTTCTTGACTCAATTGTCCATGTTGCCAAAATAGAGCAAAACCTGCTTACAAACTCACAATGCATAAAGGTGCATGTAACTATTTCATTTCTGAATGAATAAAAGAATCCATATTGTCCCTGAATGTTTATGTAGGTGGTCATGTCACTAGGTCATGTCTTACAAAGCACTGCATATTTGCCAATAGTAAATCATTACTTTGGTATTTAGGTCAGAGGTGATTTTAACTAAAGAAGGGATGAGACTTGAGAGCTATGACATGAAGCAGGACATCTGAACTATGGGGTATAATGTTCTGAAAACAGAATCCAGCATGAAGAGGAATAATGGTAGAGCAGAGGAAGGAGCCATTATTTACCTCTCACCTAAAATAGCCCCAATGGGGTGGCTAGTTCCACCAGGATGGCTCTAGGGTGAAACACAACCGAACAAAACATGACGGCCCAACATCCTCTAGGTGGAGAACTCTGGATGGATGGAAAGTGACTGCAGGAAGGGGAGTGGGGTGGGGGCCTTTATCTATATTGTTGCAAGTTGTTTTCATTAAGCGTGCTCTACTTCTATCACCTGGTCCAGGCATAATATCTTCAGTGCTGAAAGAGAGACCATCTTACCTGAGTGGTAATTTTTAAGCCGAGAACACTGTCATCTACCACAATAAGCGTGAGCAGAGTCTGCAGTGCTAGGGCAATGAAGGTGTTGACACCAAACACTAGTGCGTAACGTTCCATGCTGAGGTTTGCAGCAATCTGGAAACTTCAGGGAGAAAAAGAAGAATGGATTAGCAATATTCCTTCCTGGACAGTTCCCATTTCCACATTACATGTGAAGAGCAGCTCCCCCTTGTCGACTGTCAGTTCCCTCCCAACTAAATATGAACTGGTTGTTGTCAGTGATATGGATTTCACTTAGATAGCTGAGCACAGTAGGAACACGGAAACAAAGGACTAAGTGAACGCTTACTTGCCTACATGCTTCCTCAGGAGAAAAACTGACAACGCCCATGACAATGTTTCTTCCATTTGGTTTCTCTTAAGTAGAAAATCTAATTTCTCAGTCTATCCAGAAAACAAAGTCTGTCCCACCACAATGTTCATAATGCTTCTTTGAACCAAAGTACATACGTTGCTATAGTGATGAGTAGCATGTAGATGATTCTGAAGACAACATAGGATGCGTAGCACACCCAAATGTTCCTCACGATGTTCATAATATACACCGCGGCAGCAATCAGAAGGGAAAACAGAGACAATGTCATTTCTCCCCACGTTGACCATGATATTTTTATATAGCCAACTGCAAACACGGCAACAGCACCTACAAACAAAGAGAGACGAGAGAATCAGCGAAGCAAATACTGCCTTAGTTATCCAGCGCTGCTGTACGAGCAATACCACAAGCGGAGGGATTTAACAATTTGTTTTCTCACTCTGTAAGACACTAGAATCCCAAATTCAGATCACCAGCACGGGGAGGGGGAGACTTTCTCTTTTCTGCAGGCTCGGGAGGAAGGTCCTCACTCCTCATACCTTGAAGCATTCCATGTGCCTTGGCTTCTAACACCCATTGCAATTTATTTAATCTCATTTATCTCTCAAAAGAGATAACACCCATTGCAACTTATTTAATCTCATTTATCTCTCAAAAGAGATAACACCCATTGCAATTTATTTAATCTCATTTATCTCTCAAAAGAGATAACACCCATTGCAACTTATTTAATCTCACTTATCTCAAAAGAGACTGACTCAAGATCTAGCCTATGTTAGTTCTGCCTCATTAGCAAAGAAAACCCATTCCTGAATAAAATTATAACCATAGGCAACATTATATAGAGAGCAAATACTATCTCAATTTTTAAAGTTTATCTTAGATTAATACACTTACAAATTTTAACTTATAAATAAGATAACAAGGTTATATAGTCTTGAAACTCTTCCAGAGGAGTTTGCTCAATAAACAATCTGAAGCCACTTAGAGATGATGAAAGACAAAATTAGGGCAAGTGACAGAAGGGAAAGAAATCACAGACCCAGGGAAACTGCTAATGTGGAGACAAACAAACAAACAAAAACAATGCTTGCTGCAGAAGGACAAGCCCCAAAGGCAATGCTTCTAACTTGACAAGGCAGAAAGGGTGGTCCAAAACATGACAGGCCAAGGAGGCTTCTCTGCCTTTTGGTAAAATGACTGTGATGAGAATGAAAACTAAAATGTACTAAAATCCCTTGTAAGTGCCAAGCAGAGTGCTTCCCCAAATCATGTAAAGCCTCTCAACAAATTACTGTAGATCAGCAGATCAGAAAAGGAAACGAGAGAGCATAATGGTCAAGGTGCTAACTTGGGAACCATCCTGTCTGAATTAGTCTTAACCTGAATCCTCACAATCTGTGTGGTGTTGGGCAAGTTATTAACCTATCTGTTGCTCAGGTTCCCTAATTGTAAAATGGAGGTAATAATTGTCCTATCTTAGGGATTTTATGAGGGCTGAATTTCTAATTGAGGATCAAAAATGACTGCTACAAACTCATGGACTAATTTTAAGAGAAATATTCTAATAGGAACTAATGTTTCTTGACATCTTCCCCATCTGGGTCCATACACTTCTGCAGGCACCGTCTCCGTCTCTCACCCCTTCCTGTAAAACTCTGCGCTCCTCAATTTACAGCACGGCAGGAGGACAGTGTTAGCATCCTTGAGGGACTCCGGCAGGTTCTTTTGAAATATTCTGTGAGTTTGGGGAACACAAAGAAGTGCGAAGGGGCCAGGTCAGGGCTGTAGGCTGAAGGAGGTAAGAAGGTTTTCCAATGAAATTCTCAACAGGAGAGCCCTTGCTACCTTTGCAGAATGTGTGGTGCATTTTGTGATCGAAAAAAGGTTCCTCGGAGCACCTTTCCTGGCCTTTTTCTTACGAATGCAGTTTTCCATTTTCTTTACGTTTCTCCTTCATAATAAGAAGGCCCTGTGATCATCATGTGCCCTTTGGAAAATCCTTATTTCCCTTTGGGAATGGTCCTGCCCTCCAAAAACGTCACCATATAACCTCTGAGCTGACGTATCCGCCTTGATTTAACTGTCCCAGCAAATCCCATCAGAAGTCACTTTTTTTTAAGGTACCCAAAGGAGACAAGACAATGTCTTATTGAGAGAACTTGGCTGAAACCCTCCACTGAATGCAGAAACATTCCTAAATCACATTTTTTAAGAATAAACCCATGGATATATAATCTAGAATCTAGAATCCCAGCAGCAATATTTTTTGACTTGTCCTCATACATAAAGTTCTTAGAATTGCATCCAGAACACTAAACAGGTATTGTTATAAACTGTTATATATTAATATTCAAAGTTTCATATCAAACATCAAAACCACATGGTAAATAAAGCGATGATAGAAACTTGGATAAGGAAAAGAACCAATTTTGAAAACCATTATATGGGGTTTTCTCCAAGGTTAAAATAATTTAATTTTGTTAATCATACTCCTTCACCACATAAGCATTTCAAAATTTCCTCCTAAATAATAAAACCAGAGCTTAAAACAAGTGACTCATTCCGTGAGCCTACTTCAAGTTTAGTAGGGAGAGCAAATCTGCCGTTGGGAGGCTTAGCCACCAGAGGAATCTCCTTCTCCTCTGCACGCTGTGTTGCTTACCCAGTAAGGTTGAAACTGCCTCCACACCACCATTATAAATAGCAGCTTTTCGAGAAGGCTCCACTTGCTCCCACAGGCCCTGTGTGTAGTTCACAACTTGGAAATAGCCGCAGGTAGAGAGGGCCCACCACACAGACCAGCAGAGCAGAGGGCGAGAGGAGTAGCACACCAGAAAATCATTCCATAGGACCTTCAGCACGAGGAGGCGGTCTGGCGTGGCTTCCTGCACAGCAAATGGAAACAGCCCAAACATCATAAAGGCAAGTACACAACAACTGACATTCCATTGTCTGCTTGACAGACTTCTCGTTCTTCTTATAAAAATGAAGGAGCTCTGGTGGCATAGTGGTTATGAGTCGGGCTGCTAATCAATCGCAAAGTCAGCAGTTCAAAACCACCAGCTGCTTTCCAGGAGAAAGATGAGGATTTCTCCTCTTGTAGAGTTAGTCTCAGAACCCAGTAGGTTTTGTTTTGTTTTGTTACAATGAACTGCCTATGCCTCACATATTGAAAAAAAACACAACTATTAGCAGAAACATGTATTCCCTCTGGAGAAAAGTTCTATAACAATTTTGCTTTACATGTGCTATAAACATTAGTACAGCTGTATGTAATCAACCCAACAAAGACTCTGATGTTAATATGATGTAAGTAGAAACTGGTCAGAGACTGTATACTACAGCTGAAGGGAGATGATATTCCACATTGCCAAATACAATGGCAAGTAACAGACAGTCCATTAAATCACTGTACAGTTATACAGTTAGTCAATAAGAAACTGCTAATTTTATTGTTGACATTCATGGAACAGTAGTTGTTAAGAAAGGAATCTTAGAAAACTGACCAAAATGTTAGCAGTTCTGGGTGATGGGGTAATTAGTAATCATAATTTTCCCTCAATGTTTTGGTGCGATGAGCAAGATCACTATTATAATACAGCAACTGTATTTGCACCCAAGTGAACCAAAGCATTACTGAGCCATTCATGATCCCATGAGCACAGAAAATTTCACTTTTATGGGCAACATGTAAAGAAAAAATAAAGCACCCAGAGGATTAAAAGGGGAGCTGACCAAGAAGGCCTTTGTATAAGCTAGGAAGTGTAGCAGGTGTCCACCTCTCACAGATTGGTAGCACCTCTCAAATTGCTCCTGTGGGTTGCAGGCCACACAGCTTGCGTGGCAAAGGGACCGTCAGGTGTAAAATGACGACTTCCTCCCTGCCGCCAGTCTTTTTCCCTTTCCCTTTGTGTAGGACCTGTCAGCAGGTATGGGTACGTGACTGTGATTCCAAAGTAAATGCCACCCTTTTTCAGCTCAGTCATGCCTGGGGGATGATTTGTCTAGTTAAACCAAAGGCTGGGGTGAAAGTTTTGAAAAGACAAACACTACTTTTTGAGTTGACTTCTTTTAAAGGTGGACACAATCCTAGTACTAACTACTCAAACACCAAACATTCTTTTTATGTTGAAAAGGCAGTTTCCATTATTCCTCAGCTCTTGATATTTCACTGACTTTACAGTCGGTAGTAAAAACCCAATAACTAAACCAATAGACACAAATAAAGTCTAACTGGTTTCAAACAGAGAAAGAGAACTTGTCTCACGAAAGCACTGGTGTTTGGATCTGGTTACGATTTGGAGAGAGACGTCATGACGCACATCTGGGAAAGCACGGGGGACGGTGTTCTCTGAGGTGAATTAAGAACTGGAGACAATAGGGCTCCTCCCAAAGATGAAAGGTTCCTAGGACTCGCTTTCCTGTTAGGGCCTGCTGGGCATTAATTTGCTCCCCAAACACTCATTTCTTGCTTTCGCTTGGCATCTTATAAAGCTCTCGTTCAGATGTCTGAAAGATGGTGCCCGGGCAGCCTGTCAGGAGCTGGCATACAGGAAAGATGAGGTATAGCTGAGGCTCAGGGTGTCAAGCTGCAAGTGAGAGTACAAGCCCTGCCTCACACTCGCACCCCACCCTGCTTCCAGCTCAACACTGACACACCACTGGCAAGGCTCAATGACCAGAGATACTCCAAGGTTATAAAGTAGCTACATGATTCAGGCTTCAGTGCTCAGGGCCAGGTGGGGGGGCAGTCTTTTGATAATTTCATGTCTTTGGATTCTGGAGACTATTCTAACTTTTATCGAAAGACATAAAAAGATGGACACTACATAATAGTGAGTTAAAAGGGGGGGGGGAGATGACAAAAACCATGCCAGAGTTATAAAACTGAATGTAGATTATGACTTCATTTACTATAAAAATGTTGATGGGCTTCTTGGTGTACGAGGGGGCTTCAAAATATTTATGGAAAAATTCCACTCTCTTTAATCCCATTTTCCCATGAACCCTTTAAAGTCTCCTTTTATATATGAAAAGAGATGCTTGAAAAGAAGACTACTATATAATCACCAGAGTGGTGATCATTGGGTGGTGGTAGTTAGGTGATTTTACTTCTTAAGAGTTTTCTATCGTGGTGCTATGAGTTACTTATGAGCCTTCTAACCAAAGCTGTGTGACTGCCAAGCACTGATTGCATAGGACTACGCAAATGTGGCCACCACGGCATTGGACAGCTTGCTAATGAGGCAAGTAAGGTTCAGGGAACTCTGTGGGAATAAGACCATACAAATAAAATTGCACTCGAACAAGGGGAATGATCAGTTTTGACATCCCAGTAGGCTTAAAAAGAGCCATCCCAAATGTGGAAATGGGGGACTTGATCACCATCAAGAAGAAGTGGAAGAAAGGGGTCTCCTTTGGACCGAGAGTCCTTGCACTGGGAACCTCTTAGAACTAAGAGACTGAGTAGTGTTGTAGTGATGCAAGAGACAGAAAGAGATAGTGAAAAATAGCAGTAGCACAGGCAGGTGACTAGCAGACGGTCCAGTGGGATTCCAAGCCCACAGAATAAGAGATCTGAGTACCTTTGGGCAGGAGGCTTGCTGGTGGCGTGGGGTGCTTCCGAGCACGTGGTGAAACTAGACTGCTGACCTATAGAGTAAATGCTGAGTGCTTTGGTTAGAGTCTTACTGGCAGAGTCGGGTGCTGCTGGATACTCACTGGTAGAGCTAAACAGTCCTTTAGCGCTTTCCTGAGCAGGGCAGAGGCCAGGGTGGGCACCAGGGTCTGAGAGACCGAGGAGCTAAGGGCCAGAGAGAAAGTTCTACCTGTGAATTACAGCTGAGAAGAGGCAGTCCTGATTGAAGAACTAAAAATTGTACTTCCCTAATAAACTGTCTACCTGTGAATACTGTCTATGAGCTTTATGTGGCCAGTGAAATGAATGCTCAAACCCAGCATGCAAGGAGACAAGCCCTGGGAGGAATAGCGGTGTCCAGATTGGTTAAAAAAGGGTGCTTACAAATGGATGCAGGCCTGGTTTTCATGTCATAGGAATGAGCCTTAGCTGCTGATCTTCGTTCTCATTCCCCTTCATGAAGTGAGTCAAGGACAGATGTTTCTGTAGTGCCAGTTTTTACATAGCTATTGCCCAATTAAAAACTAAACAAAAGGAAATACATGAATCTTTTTAATAAAGCCAACATACAGATTTTTTTCTCTTAAGATGATACATTTACTAGCTCTACGAAACAGCAATAATTAATAAGTGAATAAAAGTCATTTCTTCCTATATGCCAAATAATCCCACTAGGCTGAGAACCAGGTAATATTTAATTATTCTGCCTACTCGCAAGATCACCAAACAGCCTTGGGGCGGTGCTTTCTTCCTGGCACTGTTGGGCCCAGAGGGGAGAATCCTTCGAGTAGTAGCTCTAGTCTTTTTCAAGGAAGAGTGCTGGGCTTAACCAAGATATCTCACAGAAAGAATTACTGGCACTTGGAGAGGGAGATAGGGGAGCAAGCTTAAAGAAAATGCTTCTACTTGATTTGTGCATGCTAATCACCTACAACTATACATAACTAACGCCCATATGTTTATATTTTAAATGTATAAATATATTTGTGTGTGTGCATGGCTAAGCTATTATAAAACACACTTGACACAGATCAACATTGAGCTGCTAACCTCAAGGTCAGTAGTTCGAACCCACCATCTGCTCCTCAGAAGACAGGTGTGGCTTTCTGTGTCCACAAAGATTTAAGTCTCAGAAATCCAAAGGGGAAGTTATACCCTGTCCTTTTGAGTCCTTATAAGTCATCATCTACCCCATGGTAGGTAGCCAGTGTGGTTGTTCATTTTTATTTTGTGATTTTGCCTACACCATCAGCCCTGTTGACTCTCCAACAAGAGTTAACAGTGTATGAAGGAACCAGCATTTTATTGCTCACTTATCCTTGCACATTTTGACTGCAGAAGTTGTGCATGCCTGGTAATCAAGGCAAGTTCCTGAGGAAAACCACCCCGGGTTCTAGGGATGGAACTTGGAGCCTGTAACTTACAAGTTTAACGAGTAACCGGAAGGGAAGATGAAAAGCAGTCAAAAGAGACTAATTTTCAATGGGGGTATTAAATACCAAGTTGAGACATTTGGGGTTTACTCCAGGATGAGTTAAAAGGCTCTATTCATACTGGTTCTGTTTTCTCACCAGCCGGCAAAACTTATGGAGCTTTATGTCTGATTGAACCTGCCAGCAAAGCTGGAATGTTAATAGGTTTATTTCCAAATATTGCCCCCCAAATTGAGACTAATTCAGCATGATTGGAATGAACTTTGCTGTTTACAGCTTAAAATTTTATAGACACACACACCCCTTTTATTTAAAAAGGTGGGTGCCTGGCGGAGGCAATTAACCTTCTTGACAAGACAGAGTAAATGACTAAGTCATTATACCGAATCCCTCTCTTCTATGAAAAAACTTCATAGTCATACTTTTAATAGTTATGCCATCTTCTGAAACCTTTCTCTTAATGGCTCTCTTCCTCTGTATTATTAATTTCCACTTCTACAGTCATCTCAAGAGATATCAGATGTCACTTCTAACATTGATGAGGAAACTAACTTAACTTAAAACAATTTGGGCTTCCATTCAGACACTTGAAATATATAAATCATTTATCAGAATCATTTCACCTATTCATTTAGCAAAAACAGTTTTGAGTGCTTTCTTTGTATACTAAGCACTAGGGATACAATGAGGGAGACAATGAAGTCCTGCCATCCAAGAACTCTTGGCATGAGCAATATACTGTTTTACCAGTCTGACCCTGGAGGCCATTTGCTCCAGGGAAACATATATTTGGCATCCCCCAAATAAAACAACCACGACTCGAGTAACCAAATGAACAACTGAATGCATGATTCCAAGTCTATCAAGAGGGATCTTCCTGCCTGCTTTTCCACTCTTGGATCATTCCCCAGAGTTGAAGCCAAGTATTTACCCAAGACATTTCATCTTGAACTTACTGGTTCCTCGGTGGGAAGCTCCTCCACATTTAAAGGGATTTTTGACTCGATGTCTTCCCATCCTGGAAGGTGGCTAGCAGCTGGGGTGTCAGTAACAATACCACCACTTGGTGCCTTGATGCCGTTCACTGCATGGCAGGTGGGTGGAACATGGTGAAAGAAAAGGCTCTTCTGTGGCATGGGGAGAAACCAAGCCACAGCAAAAGCCACAGAAACACAGGTCAGAGAGATGACGTTCAGGCTAAACAGGGACCAGTCTGCCACCGAGACAAGGATTTGGCCCAGGACAGCGCCCACTGTGAAGCCCACCAATGTGGCACTTCGGCAGTAACTTGTGACTTTCTGGTACATGCCCAGGTCTACCACACTGTAGATATAAGAGTAGTAGGCAATTTCAGTGGCTGTGGCAATGCCATAGAAGAATTCCAAGAACTGAATGGCCAGCAGTCCCTGGGCATAGAGCAGCATGAACCATGTAACAATAAGGCTGAGTCCCTGCAGCAGAACAACAGGTTTGTAACGGAGGTAGTCTGTGGCAAGGAACACAGGAAACAATAGCACCAGGTAAGAGTAAGTCCATACTGGATAGATTTTATTGAAGACCTAGTAGAAAGAGAAAAAGAATAACCCATTAATGACATCAAATAGAATCTTCATAGTAATTCACACTTATAAAACAGCTTACCAATACTTTAAGTACCTTGTGCTAATTAGCCAAAGAAAGCTTGGCAGCAATTCTAATAATTATTTGCACTATCCCTTCCCCACACCCACTACCATTATCCTTAATAAAATCCTTTGCATTTACCAAGGCCCAGTTCAAGGGCTTCCTCATGCAGGGAGACTTTGCTGGAGCTGGCAGTGTTTGGATTGTGACATTCACAGCTCTGTTGATATGTCTGTTTGTCATACTCTCCAGATATGTCATGGTACCTGTTCACCGCCCTGGCTGAACACCTCCCATGGAGCTTCTCAGTTATATGGATGCATAGCTACAGGCATTTGTTGAAACTTCCCACAAGTTGTTAATATCAGCCAAGGTTGAGAATCGTTACTTTAAAGCAGCAGTTCTCAACCTGTGGGTCACGACCCCTTTTGGGGGGTGTCAAACAACCCTTTCACAGGGGTCGTCCAATTCATAACAGTAGCACAATTAGTTATGAAGTAGCAACGAAAATGATTTTATGGTTGGGGGGGTCACCACAACATGAGGAACTGTATGAAAGGGTTGTGGCAATAGGAAGGTTGAGAGCCACTGCCTTAAAGGTTCTTTAAGCATGACCCCATGCTTATATGTAGGCCCGAATTTTTAGCAGACTCTTTTGGAAAATACAAGGCTCAATAAATATTCACAAAAATGAGCCATTATCAATTAATTCTTACTTTTAGCCACAAGTTAGAGAGCTTGATCCTACTGGTTAATTAGATTACTCTGATTTTACTTTTGATTTCTTAGGGGTATCACAATAGGTAAGAAGGGTAATAGGATCGCCTTCTGGTGCTTTTCTGTAATAAGAAAAAAACAATGATGAAGTTTTCATTGTTTTTCAGTATATATTTTCTAATTGGCTATAGGAGAAACCATCTTTAAAATAAGCTTTAGACGAGAAAGCCTTCAGCTGGCATTTCAGTTCTCTTATCTACTGGCTGCTGTACTTACAAGCAAGTTCAATCTTTATCGTGTGTGGTAGTGTCAGTAGAAAAGAGGAAGACCCTCAATGAGAGGGACTGACGGGATGGCTGCAGTGATGGTCAGCCATAACAACAAGGGCGAGGAGAGCCCAGTACCGCCGTGTTTCATTCTGCTGGACACAGGGATAGCAGTGACTTGGAACCCACTCAATGGCACAGACGCACAGCCTCAATCTTCGTCAGTAAAAGACACATATGACCACACCTCACAGGGTTGTTGTTGCTGGGATTAAATGAGCAAATGCATATAAATCCCTTACTACACTTCATCATTTTGGGTCTGATGACTAGAGGACTGAAGCTAAATCATAAACCACCTGGGGAATAAATTAATTGGGCCCTCCAACCTCATTCTTCCAATAACAATCATTATAAGAAGCAAGTGTCTCTTTTTTACACCTAATCCGAAGTCCAGCAAGCTTAGGCAATTCAGTTCTGTAAAAGACCTTTTGACAGCTTGGATCAACGATCCCAAATTTTAAGTGCCTTCTGAAAGGTAGTATTTAGCAGACTAAATACTCTGTGATTGAGGCATTCCAATCCTGGATTTAACACTCTGGGACCCAGGGAAATAGTTTTCATGCTCCCATACACCACAGTGAATCCCAGTGAAAACAGGCTAATTTTCGCAGTGTGTTAGTCTGCCAGTTCAGAGCACAACTATAAAATAAACCATATTTGTCACATTCTGAAATCCACCCCAGACTTGGTTTCTCACCTGTCTAATAAAGAGTGATCTAAACCACCACATTCCATTCACATTGGTAAGTCAGTGAGCTACCTTCACTCCATCAGGAAATCTGGTTGCACCTGAATATGTGTGTGAAAAAGTCACAGAACTATAGATACTATTCTAATTCAGAAGTGTGGAAATTTCAGGAAACGAAGAACAAAGTGCACTTGGCTGGTGTGACCACAAATAAGACTTCTCTCAATATAATTCCAAAGGAGCATGAAGTATAGTCAATAAAACTGTTAAAATTGGAAGGAAAAAAAAAAAGACTGGGAAAAACAACCAGGAGGTAAAAAAGAGCCAGGACGACCTTGCGCTGAGTGCTGTGGAGAGCGAAGTCTCTCTCCAGCCCTCCAGACTTCTGAGTGTTAGGTTCCAATTAACAGCTGCAAACCCCCCCTTTTTTTGTCTCTACTACGCTCTCTTCTGTTTTCTAATGTTTGAAAATTGCTTCCTCTGTTTGGCTCAGCATTGTTTCTTCACTTCCATCTTCCTCGATATGTATTTGCCAAAAACCAATACCACGAAGCTACTAGTCGTCAAAGCTTTCATTTAAAAACGTCCTATCACGCCTCCAGTTCTCCACGTCATTTGTTTTCCATTAGACCTCTTGGTACGTTTCATCTACACTCCAGTAATACCGTCTATCCTTAGCCATTTTATACCCTTTCAAAGAAGGTGTTAGTTGTGGACAGCCATCAAGTCCGCCCAGATCTTGATGGCTGTGGTTTTACAGAGAACTGTAGTCGGTCGTTTCCTTGGCTATAAGCTTTATTCAAGCAGTTCTCTAAGCCTTTTTCTTTCGTACGGTCACCAGGTGAGTTTGAACTGCCAATCTCAAACTGCTTGTGCCACCCCGCTTCGTTCAGTTGTTCCAAAATGACCCAATTTCCACTGTTAAATAAAGACAGGGGAGGGGAGGAGGAAAAGACTAGGTGGAGTCCCTTTAGTTTTTTCCTAAATAAGACACCTGCGTTCTCTTCCAGGAGAGAGAGCAATGCAAGGTGAATGTCTGCTAATACAATGATTAGCTTTATAACAGCAAACTTCTACTGAAGTGCTAAGGTGCCCTGGTGGCGCAGTGCTTCAGCACCACGCTGCTAACTGCAACACTGGTATTTCAAACCCACCCAGAAAGACCTGTTGATCTGCTCCCATAAAGATGACAGCCTAGCAAGAGTCACATGGGTTAACTTGAGCTGAAAATCAACTTGATGGCCCCTAACAACAAAAATGCCGGTGTCCTACACACTGCTAAGTACGTCACCTGAGTTATCTCATTGAATCCACACAACAGCCCAAACAAACACATACAGACTCATTGCCATCGAGTGGATGCAGCCTCACAGTGACCCTAGGGGACAGGGTAGAACTGCCTCTGTGAGTTCCTGAGCCTGGAATTGTTTATGGGAGTAGAAAGTCTTGCCCCCAAGGTGCAGCTGGTGGTTTCAAACTGCCGACCTTTCGTATGGCAGCCCAACTCATACCCACTATGCTACCCGAGCTCCAAACAATAGCTCTCATGAGGTTAAACTATGTTTTAGGTTTCTAGCTGACAACTGAAGAAACTCCAAAGGTATCCCATCTAGTAACTGGCAGAGGGAGAATCTGAATTTACATATTATAAATCTATCATACGAAATGCCTCCTTTCTTCCTGCACAGAAAGAAAACGTTTACTGATCAATGTTATGTTCTAGGGCCACTTTTACTGCCTGCAGCAGCGTTCTGAATCTACCCTGGGTGGGACGGTTTCTGGTCTACTACCAATCGGAGACTTGGTGAGCCACCCCTACCCAATGGGGCAGCAGAACTGCCTGGCAGTCTGCTTCCAGAAAGATCACAGGCAAGAAAACTCGATGAAGCTGAATTCTACTCTGGGACAAGGGTTGCTGTGAGTCAGAACGGACTTGGCTGTAATGTGGTTTTTGTTTTTTCTTTTTATGAAGTGCTAAGGGAAGCACAAGCTCCCGAGTTTATCCAGCACGTCTCCAAAGGCAATCCCTTTTCTTTCAGGGCTCCTAAGGAGAAGCCTATAGCCAAGAAAATTCTCCTTGAATCCTGCAGGGAGATTTCTATAGGCAAAATGTACAAATTACCAACCCAAACCAAATCCACTGCGACGGCATTGCATCAATTCTGACTCACAGCAGCCCTACCAGCCAGAGTAGAACTGCCCCATCAGGTTTCCCAGGCTGCAGTTTTCATGGAAGGAAACCACCACTTCTTTCCTCCTGCACAGGGGCTGATGGGTTTGAACCAGACCTCAAGATCTGGACATTTCAAACACTGCACTAACAGGGCTCCTTCTACAAATTACAGACCCTTACTTACTATTTTTCAAAACGTTTTTATTGTGAATTGAATGAAGGCTTAGAGCAAATCAGTTTTCTGTGCAACAATTCACACACATTTGTTTTATGTCATTGATGACAATCCCCCACAATGTCGCATGTTTTATTCTCATTCCATTTCCTCCTGTTTCTATTCCTCTTTCTTTCCCACCCCCTCTTGCCTTCTGCACTCTATCCTTGGGGCAATGCTGCCCCTTTTGACCGGCCAGGGTGGATGGTTCTAAGGAGTATGAGTATGTACTTCCCTGGTGCTCCTGCTCCCACAGAGGCCCATTACTTGGCTGCAAATGTGAGCCATACTGGGCGAGCTCAGTTCCAGGCCTGCAGGGTGACTAGCAGCACAGTATTAAAAGTTCACCAGTATCTATTTACCTGACCAGTCAGTGTCGTACTCCAAAAGTCCGAACTCACTGCACGGACTCGAATAGACTCACAGCAACACTACAGAGCAGGACAGAACTGCCCGTGAGTTTTGGACTCTGTAATTCTTTAAGGGAATAGAAGGTAATTTTGAACTACTGACCTGGGGGCTAGCAGTCCAATATGTAACCACTGTGCCACCAGGGCTCAGACCCTTTTAATTGTCTATACAACAAATTCTCAACCAAAATTTGCTGTCTGAGCAAAGGGAACTGATTTTCTCCTAATCAGAATACTTTTCACAAGTCTGTGGACTAGAGTTTATTTATTCTTTCCTCTGAGATACCAAAAGCCAATGGGAAACAGATGTTTAGTTTTAAGCTCTTATTCAGATTTCGATTTTATGGTAGAACTGACTGAGCTTCACTTTACAAAAACATTTAGCAAGCAACACTTGCAGAACACTGTTCTGACGTTGTTCTTATAAAAGAAGAAAACGAAATGTCAGCACTCCAGGAGCTACAGACCAGTGAGGAGCACACGCACACACAGGCTTACAAAGGAAACAGGAAAATATGAAGCTGCTGCTTTGAGGTAAGTTCAAGGATGAGAAAGGTATGGGCTAACAGAAAGATATCAACTGATATGTTGGGGAAGATTAGTCCAAGCAGAGGGCACATATTTGTTAAAGACTCTTATAGAGTCTGTGGGTATCACGGATTTGTGATTTCAAGATTAATGTGGATGGAACTTGGATATGTGGAACACTCCAACCCAAACTCACCCAGAGCCACCTTAAAGGACAGGGTAGAACTGGTCCTGTGGGTTTCCAGAACTGTAAGTTGTTATACCAGTAGAAAAGCTCATCTGTCTCCTGCAGAGTGGCTGGTACTTTTGAACGGCTAGCCATGCAGTTAGCAGTTCGATGCTTACCCAACTGATCCACCAGCGTCCGTATGTGGGAAGGGCAAGAAGCAAAAGGTTATAGTGGGCAATAAGCGGCAAACTCTACCATGCTCTGAATATCAGGCAGGAAAAAGTGGATTGTTTATTTAAAAAATCAAAGGCAGTAAGTATCTGTCAAAGAACATACTGAAAGAAAAGATAGGGGGGAAAAAGGTTTGGGAGATAAAGCGCTCTCTTTCATTCAGAGTTTGGCTTCCAACTATTGAAATACAGTCAAATTCTAACTGTATGAAGACATTAAATGGTACCTATTTTAAAAGTAACATTTTTCCTGAAATTTAAGGGACAAAATCTGTTGAGAAGGGAAAGAGGAAAGTCTTTTTTCCTGCTTTTGTCTTTGGACTCCGTTACCAATAGCACTATTTAGAATGATCCAATAAGGCCCTTCTGAAGTTTTTCAGTGGGAAATACAAACTTAAACACACATTGCACTGAACATGACTTGGCATTCGCTTTGCCTTTAAAACCATGTTACATTTGTTTAATGTAACTACCTATGATTTAAAAGCAAGCACTTAGTTGGGAAGGAAAATGAGATGTCCCATTTATTTCAAATTTTAGTTATCCAGAAAAACCTAGGGCTCTCAACAGGGTGAACAGAGTCTACCTGTATAACCCACAAATTCAGTGCTGATCTGGAGGGGCTCCGAGAAAAATAGTCCTTCCACACATAATGATTTCTCTTCAGACCCTGCCTTCTTCTTCATCCACTTTGCAGTAACAGAAGTGTGCTTACGCTTTTGTTACACAATCAGCAAATATGTGTTGGGCCTGGCGTCCCAGCTTTATTTATATGCCCCCTGAACGTGCCTCCCTCAGCCTAGTAAGCTTTGCAGTAAGACAGTATACACCATGGCACATCACAGGGCAGCCCTCTGCCCAGGGCACGTGACACAACAGATCACCTTTCTAACATCAACACGGAGCAGGCTAATTCCCTGGGCGCTTCTCGATCAGGCAAGTTTGTGTTTATCTACACAAACTTGGCAGGTCGCACGGCGGTTCACATGAAAATTTAATGGTCAGCTGCACACACACATCCTTTCTGCTACATTCAAATTCAGTGGTGCTTTGTGGGAGTGGGGGGCGTGGGGGAGGGA